TCTATATGCAGCTATTATATGACCACCATCTGGAAATGTAAGTGACTTGTAATAATGCAATTTACAGCTCTGCTAAGCTGCTGCCATAGTGTTAGCAAGAAAATGGTATAAGCTTCCATTGATTATTGCAATGGTATGTGAATGATTCTGACCAGAAGAATAGTTTTGTGATTGAATACTATTAGGTTATTTTAGCTCTTATATCACTTGGTGAGTAATTAGTGTTAACATTTGCAGTCTTTACTAATACTGTGTCTAGGCTGTGGTTTTGGTGTGTGTGGTTGTGAACACTTATGAGACACTTATTGACATGTGTGATTTTTTTATTAGCAACTGCATATGAGTGGTGAGTGCACAGTCCAGATACATAACATTATATTCTATTGAGCATTCTTCATATTTGCAGCTTCACAGATACTCAGCTGCCTCGAGTGCTCCAAAATGCAGTGGTGCGTGTTTATATATGTATTGAGTCGATTTGACTTTGAACTATTACATCAGGTTGTAGCAATGACTCAGCCAATGGCATCATCAACTGCAGATATCTGTATTATGATCACCCTTATCTGGACATTGCACAAGGAGAAAACGGATTTTAAGCAGTAAGTGATTCATTAACGAACATTTTCTAATCTGACTGTTGAATACTGCAGAACAAATGGTATTATTCAAAAGATCACCATTTATGTGATCAATCGTGGAATCTTGACTGCGTAGGTCTCTTTTAATCTTATAAGCATTGTTGATTATTTATGTAAACAGCATGTTACAAATTGCACATGCCATCTCTGTGAGTATGATTGAGTAAAGCTGCATGCATATATTACTTTTTCTGATTTATTGTCCTAGTATGTTGCTGCTAACAAAGGAGATTTGTATTGGGCAATATTCCATTATCCTTCAAGTCATGGTATGTTTGCCAGATAAATGTCAATTTTTATACTTATGACAATGTTTAGTTTATGTGAACTCAGTTCTTGCCATGTAAGATACTTATAAAATGTTTGAGTAGTTATTGATATTGGTCATACAGATTGAATGCCCGTGATTATATCAGAAATGGTGGACAGGTAATTTATTTCTTGTTGCTCTGAGACTCAATCACTCACAAAGTGATTCCAGGTTATTGATGTGAAGCACTTCAGCTTGAAATCTATCTCCAAGTGAGTTTTATACCCTAGTTGACAACTATACACTTATATTCACTCCCCTTCTTCAAAGCAGAGAGCATTCTATTAGGCGGCCACATAGAATGGAGGTTTTACTCTCAGTAGAGGAGATTACTGATGTTATCAGTAAGACTTGAAGAGCAGTTGCTCTCTTCTATTAAGTGCACAATATATAGATGATCTAGCACAACACTCCCTTGATAATATTGAAACTAGTAGTTGGAGCATAGCTCAATGTCTTCCACATATTTTTCCAATATTTATCATCCTCAAGCCTACCTTAAGCGATGAAATATGATCCCAATCGCACAAGCTGCGTTACTTGCACAGCCTCTCTCACCAACTTCATCTAAGATTTGAAATGCTTATGCTGTCTATTAACGTAGTGAACGACCTCGATGAGGACCGTCGGCTAAATGCTCGAAATGCCATTGTACTACTGCTCACGATCTCCATCTAGGTTCATTCCGATTGCTAGGACGATACTTCCCGATCGGTAACATACTCGCAGGCTTCCACCTACTCAGACATTGTGGAAATACTTAATGACAAGCACCTTGTGCTAGTACTTTGCCCTCAGTGAAAGACAGTAATAATTAAAGAGCTATCATGCCCGAGAAAGTTGATATCACGTACTAATAGGATAGAAACTGTAAATAGACCGCTACCTTAAAACCTGACAATGATCCTGTGAGCAAATAATCAAATGGTGTATGCGAGATAGGCAGGTGATGACGGTAAGCATTAGAGCAAACGTCATTCCAAAAAGCCCTCAGCACATAGTTCTGCCAGAGGCCAGTAAATTCGACATGAATGATATACTATCAGGCCAATTGGGCTTGACAGTCGATTATGTTGCACGGGTTCACGTCTACTTGTCAATGAAGCGATGGATAGCGACCAATGACGACAATCTAGTAGAACTGCCTGGTCGCGCAAAAGTTCAAGTTGTGCAACATGTCATAAGGGCCACCGCCATCATCCAGAAGCAGCAACGTACAAGCGACATGAGCCATAAGCAGCTTCGAACACCTCTCCTAGCCTCCCCTCGCCGTCCGCATCAACATTCACGCCGAGGAACGCCAATACGCAACATGTGTCCTCTAGCTGCTTGAGACATCCAGGTCCGCTTGGTCGCCGCAGTCTCCAGCGTTGTCATTGGTGCCAGATACTAGAACGGCTAGAAGGGTTTGCTTGACTCCGGGTTGCCCGAATCACGAGGACGACCTTGCTAACTGTCGACAAACGTCGACTTAGAAACGATCCTGGCTGATAATCTGTACCACCCTGCGCGTGTGGCAACTTTGTGGGACTGATAAGGGCATTTGTGAAACGAACAGAGATCACTCAAAATCTCACGAGCGTAGTCGTCGACCAGTAGGATGATCTAAAGACATTGTTAGAGTCTGAAGTTGGACAGCCTACCCCACAACCGCAGCCTATATCGACGTTATTTGCGCAATTGTATTGCCCAGCCCGGTGTGCGTTTCAAAATCCTGGTTTGAATGACATTTGTATCAGTCGACTACAACTAGTCATATAAGAGAGTGAGGATGCTCAAGCACGTAGCAAACGACAACAGCAGAAATCAGAACTCGAGCAGGTCGGGATACTTGACTAGACAGTGAGGGTATGTGGGTATCAACAGTCGCAGGGATGTACAGTGCACAGATGGACAATGAACGAGAAAGCTGTCTCTCGATATCGGGGGCGTGGGCCGTTTGTCGCCGAGCCTGTCGTCTTGTCAACCGCTGTGCTACTCTAAAGTACGTGCTAATCTAATGAGAGGGAGGAATCGATCAGCGAGTGGGTCAGAGACGAGGGAGTGCCTTCTTCGCCCTCTCGTTCAACTGCGGCGTCAGAATAGTCAGTAGCCCGCGTCACCGCGTCACCCGCGGTTGTCGTCGCTCCTCTCCACCTTCCATGCATCTAGCTCGGGAGCAGCATCCCGCGGTTGCTTGGTGCTACTGTACGAACATTTCTGGTAGCATCAGCCTACCGGACTGATAACATGCGCCGTATCCAGGCAAGTCGTCAAACACAAGTTCGGAGCTAGGCCGCTAGGTAGGGGCTGCTATTCGGAGAGGCCAACTTGAGATGTAGACCCAACTGTAGACCCGTGTTAGACGTAGCTGACGCTCTGCATATTGTTTAAAGGTACGACTCGCGATTGGTCTCTTGTGAAGGTGAGCACTGAGTGTGTACTGCTAGTATTGTAACTTTCTAGTGAATTCGTGCAGCAGCGTCGTTCTCTTTTTACACTGGTTCTCTTTCTTTACGCTATGCTTGTTGACACTGGTCTTGCTCGCTATTAGAGTCGCAGTGGCCGCCTTTCTAACGAGCTTTCCGCCTCGTTGTAGGTTATGGTCTCACAAACGAGCGAACGTTGAAGTATTAAGTTTTTTCATGTGCATCCTCTGTTGCTACTGGATAGGTAATCAATTTGGTCCGTTCAACATTTCCTTGTTCTCATGACTGGTCACAACGTCGGGCGTACATCATTGCAAATTTGAAGCAGCAATCGGACAGACCGTATCGTGTCGAATGCACATATTGACAGCGCAGTATTGCTGCATTGACTCTTCATCTATGATGCTGACTGGCTTGCTAGGCTGGAAGCGAATATGCTCTACGAGTCTCGGTATTTCCCGCAACTCAATCTTACGGTAGGAACGACGACATAGACCACCTGTCGTCATTTAGAGGGTCATCTCTAGTACTTTTCAGTTGTGTGATCTACTCGGCCTTATTGATGCTTCCGCATGGACTTGGCAGTGTCTTCAGTTGTCTAGGCCTTATCCTGAGGCACCATATTCATCCTTACCCGGGTACGAGCGACTCCAAGTACTACTCATGACGCGGTACGAGGCTTTCGCGCGCAGCGCCGGAGTCGGTACTTATTTGGGACAATAACCGTCCGATCTTTTCTTCGTTACAGACAGATTCCACCTGTCGTTCCTTGTCGTTGCGGCACGGCACTAAACCGTCTCGGATGGAAGTTTTATCCAGTCTGTGCTTGGAAGTGCAACAATATGTCTTTCGATCGCAGATTTATAGTTCATGCTGTTGTTGCGACCATGGATATACAGAGCGTATGGGGTGCGTTGAACCCTAAATCTCGCTATGAATTTATGATTAATATGAACATGTTTCAAAAATCAATATTGTGGAGTCGACTGCTGTCGCGCTTGACGTCCGTGACCCTCGCAATACAGCAGTATGTCAAGTGTTATCGCTGCTCCATACTTCTTGGAGTCGCCCATTTCGAGGCCAGAGTGCTGCGCCTGCAATCAGAACGGTGCTTGCATCGGGTACCACAAAACTCTAAAACCCATTATGAATTACGGTCGATGATATATATATGTCATACTTCGATCCGTCCACTTCATTTTTCGTAAGACTTTCCACTACCTAACACCATGACTGAGCCAGATCTTCATATTGATAGCAGTATCGGCGCGTTCTATATTGGAATAGTAATTGCAACCCAGTAAGCCCCGTTTTCTCAAAGCCATTGGTCTCGAATATTCATGACTTCAACTTAGATTCTATGGTATCGCATGCGGCCAGGTGTTGTACTACTTGTGGCACTATCCTAAGGATTCTATAAAAGTCAAGTGTTCAGTAAGTTCTGTTCTATATGAAAAACTGCAGAGCTAAACTTATAGTGAATGTCATTGGCTAGGTTGTACTCCTGTGGTAGGCAGAATTTACTACATGTACACCATTTATATGTATTTGTGGCCTGACTGGTGTGTTTGTAGGGTGTTTGACACTGTGATCACAATCATGGCTATCATGGTATGGCTGATGTTGTCACAAGGAATTAAGCTTATAAACTGGGTTCAAGTGTCTCTATGGGTATACTGTACAATCTCATTCTCAACCATCAATTCTCCATATTCTGTTAAAGTAAGCAGCATAATTTAAATTTGCTGCCACAGCTGATAATAAACCATAGCTCTTTTACTGTGAGTATATTCTGCCATTATCATCTTAAAGTGTTTGATCTTTACATCTTTTGGCATCCTAAAAAGATTGAATATACTCTAGCAGTAAGTGTTAGATTGATTGTTCACGATTTCATGTACAATCATATACCATCATTTTCTAGATCATATTGATCACTGCAGTTCAGTGGTAAGCTCATAGCATCCCTTGGTAGATTATCTCCTTTAATTCTATATGCAGCTATTATATGACCACCATCTGGAAATGTAAGTGACTTGTTATAATGGAAGTTACAGCTCTGCTGAGCTGCTGCCATAGTGTTAGCAAGAAAATGGTATAAGCTTCCATTGATTATTGCAATGGTATGTGAATGATTCTGACCAGAAGAATAGTTTTGTGATTGAATACTATTAGGTTATATTAGCTCTTATATCGCTTGGTGAGTAATTGGTGTTAACATTTGCAGTCTTTACTAATACTCTGTCTAGGCTGTGGTTTTGGTATGTGGCTGCGAACATTTATGAGACACTTATTAACATGTGATTTTTTTATTAGCAACTGCATATGAGTGGTGAGTGCACAGTCCAGATACATAATATTATATTCTGTTGAGCATTCATGATATTCTGCAGCTTCAGAGATCCTCAAGTGCCTCAAGTGCTTCAAAAAGCAGTGGTGTGTTTACATATATATATATATATATATATAT